TCCTGTAAGCAAAGTCATCTTGTATGTCATGTTCGGATTGCTCCTTGCCACCCCGTTCAACATCCTCTTCCACCAACATCAAAGGAACAGCGGCCATTTTTGTTTTTCTGAGTAAACAATTTAGAAAATAGAATTGATAAATTGGAACCATAAAACATATAAAAAGAATTTTATCAGTCTTCATAAATAGTATAAACTACGGTCAAAAAATTAATAATTCTGTTTACATGTAACTGGCATTATTTTATTTTTAGAAAATAATATTGTATAAAAAGTAGTAATGACACAACTATGTTAAAGATATTCTCAAAATGTCAGTCACACATATTAAACGGTAGCAAAACAAACCTCAATTTCTTGGAAGATTTTTATGGACTGAATTTACGTTGCCAAGTTGAATTTATATAATATTTAGGTAAGAGAATTATCTGACATCGTTATACGAAAAACAGATAAACGGATTGAATAGAAACGACGACACGTTTATCACATTGATGGAAAGGGATCGAAATAATCAATTCAGCGCCATCTAGAACAAAAAACTGGAAACTCAAGAGGTCTGCGTTGCTTGAAATCCCCCAAAAATTATGCACTTCATTACGAATATCGAGTGAATCTGTTCACTCTTGTAATTTTCTCCAAATAGTCAATTGTGTATGTTGAAACGAGGTGAAAATTACAAAAGTGAGCGAATTTACTAGAATATTGATAATTTCATTGGTCAACCTAGTAAATTTGTTCACTTTTATAATTTTCAAGCTACGCAACCGACTCCCTGAACATAGCCAAAGGAAATTTAAGGAAAACCGAAGCTGCTCTAGGGGAAGTCGGTAAAGGCATTTGGCAACATTGTGTTCAATCAAGGCATGTTCAGAAAGAAATATCATCCAGCTTGATTATTTGGGTGGTGTTGTCGAACGTAGCTGAAGTTGTCATTCTGTTATTTTGTATCATTCGGGACGAATTCGTGATAAATATTTTCGAAAAACGGTACCAATTGCTTTACGACAAAAAACACCGATAAACTCAATTCATTAAAAAAAATAAAGATAATTGCAAGACATGGTAAATGTAACAAAGGGCATTTTGGTTGAATGGTACGTGTGTTTGTAGAAAAAATAATTTATTCAATTTATTGACAACCAGTTGTATGAACTAACAATCAAATTCATTCTTTGTAATCTAAGTCTTCGGGAATGTTAAACTGTTTATTAAGATCTTGCTCCGAAATGCAAAATTTATTCTTGCACCAGCTTTGTATAGAAAAAATGTTATCCGTCCATATATTGGTCCCATCTTTGTATTTCTAAAAAAATTAAATATAATAAAAACAACAATTGTAGCGACAACAACAAAGTAGCTTTCTCAATAATTTCATTGAAATCTAATATTATGTATCATGCACAGTATAACAAAATAGATAGAAACGATACTCAAAAACGTTTTTTATTGCTACAAAACGAATGAGACGTTAAAAATAAGGTTAAGAGATCTATATTTGATAAAATATATCTGATATATATTATCTATAACATATATTGAGTTTGATTGTACCTGCGCTTTTTTGTCCATTTCTGCAATTGCTTCCGGATCGACACTGCTGAATTTTGCAATTTGTTTCTTTACCTCTTGTTCTTCTTTCTTTAGCTGTTCTACTTCCTCTAATAGCTTTCTCTTTTCTTCTGTATCATTCTTCAATTCCTATATGAAATATTTTAAATGAAAAAGAATAGAATTGAAATTTAACAAATTTAGAGGTCTTTTCTGTAACTCTTAACTATTGTTATAGTTACAATCAGGTTAGGAATTACAAAACAGCCTTCTAAATATGCATTTACCTTTTCTTTTTGTACTTCTTCTTTCAGTTTCTCCAGCTTAAATTCTACTTCTACTAGTTTTTTGTTTGTATCAGCTATTCTGCGTTCTGTTGTATTAATATTTTCTCTGTAAAATATTATTTCTTGAATATCTTGTTTTTTTCTTTCTCTATAGAGCATACGTAGCTATACAATTTTCTTGCAATATTACCCTGGGAATCTCCAGAAATATGTGGAAGTACCAATTTTTTCAGATCGTACCAAACCATCGTCCACTAAAGCTTGTAACACATCTTTGACAGCTTGTACTACGATGTTCTTCTCCTTTGGCGCGATCTTTTCGAGTTCCTTCAGTGTGAAAAATTCTTTCTTCTCATAAAATATTTGCAACATTCTCATACGTTTCTCATCAAGAGAAACTCCTTTTCTTTTCGACATGGTATCTGTATATATTTATAATAAAAAATATTAAACATTCGAACAAAATTGTATGTGTTTAGTGATGCAGCTATGAAACAGTTTCTTCTACATTTGGACGAAACATCTGCACTAGGAAGAAAGTTTATAATTCAAGATCTGGATGAGAAACATCTATTCATATCTGCTGACATACTGGAAACTTTGCAAGCTAAAGTAGACGATTTAATGGATCAGATATCATTTCCATTGGCAGAGAAAGGTGTATAAAGAAACAACAAAAGCTGCTTTTTGGAGTGTATAATATTATATAAACTTGAAAAATGTCTCGAGAATCTGGTAGAATAAAAGACGCGAGTCAAAAGAGGATTCTTGATGAGGCTGCACGTAAACGTAGGCAAAAAAAAGCATTGGAAGCATTGGAACAAGACAATTTTCATGATGATCCACATGCAGACTTGGGTATATACCATATAAAAATGCTTGTTTTTTTTCAAAACACTATGTTAGAAAATTTTTTTTTTCTTATAGTTATGAGCAAGAAAATACCAAAATTCCAAGAGACCCTGGACAATAGAAGTAACAGTAGAAAGAAGAAAACCCGTTCTGCAGAATATTACAAGCAACGTTTTCGCAAGACTTTTGCTCAGTTGGTTGAAGAAGATCTCAACGTGAATCCTAATCCGCCAAACTATGCTAGTGCTCAAGCACCATCGTCTCGTTTACCCGAAAGACATTTCTGTGCAGTGTGTGGTTTCCCTAGTAATTATATATGCATACCTTGTGGCGCTAGATATTGCTGTGTCAAATGTCTAGGTACTCATCTTGACACAAGATGCATGAAGTGGACGGTTTAAGAATTTTGATTTTATTCACACACTTTTCGAAGTTTTTAATTAAAGTAAATGTATGAAAAATGCATCTCAAAGTCTGTTTTACTTTAAATATATTATGCTTTAATAAAGTATGTAAAAACAATTATAAAAGAAGACCCAATAAATTCTTTAAGTGAAATGTTAACAGTATATCAAAAAATTTTAGCAGAAAATTAATTAACTGTGATTAAGTAATACACTGTACCTGTGGTGTTTGCATTAAACTTGTGTTTTGCTAATAGAATCTGCAAAAATAAGTAGATGTTTACTTCAATTCTTTTATCCCAAATTTGAATGATTGAGCGTAAACCTTTGCATAACACATAATGCATAAAGTATAAGAAAATTAAAGCGGAGAGCACAGAGTCTTGTATAACGTATAACACATAAGGCATAAGAAATTCAACCAATCATGGCCATTCTACAATAAGCCATTAGTCATAAATCAGAAGCTAGAAGCTGGAAATTGACCAATCACAGTCGTCAATTTCCAACTTCTAACTTCTGATTTATGACTAATAGCTTATTGTAGAATGGTCAAAAGATTTCAATTGGTTCATTTTCTTATGTATAATGCGTTATGTGTTATGCATGACACTGCTCCCACCTTTAAAGTTAACGTTTGTAAAGATTAGAAAATTTGTTATACTAAATCTAATAGAGTGTGCCTTCCACAAATAACACGGTGTGACCATAGAGCTTATATTACTAGAAGGGGAATACAGATGTTGAGCTGTGAGCAAGATTGAGAGACAACAGGTGTATTTCAGTCCTCTTCTATCCTCTTTTGGCACATGCGCAGAAAAAAGAAAAGTTACTGAGCAGGACAGAAATATAAATCTTGTCTTTCAGTCTTGCTCACACTTTCTACTTATTGCCACTGATAGGCCATTCTTCCTCTAGCAGCTAGTAATATAAGGTCTCATGAGGCCATTCGAGTGGGTCGGACATGTTTCCTCTCGTCTCGGGTGTTGCGTTACCTCGATTATATTTTTGAAAAGTGTTGCCGGCTTCAACTGTGCCTTGCATTACACTACTTACATTTCTTACATTACTGGACCGAATTCGCTGGCATTTCATCGGTAAGCGCCATTAAAATAGAAGTATAAACTCTATAAGTGTAACACTATCCAAATACGCACTTACTGAACGCTCTTTCCTCTGATTGGCACATTCTATTAGATCCTAAAATGTAGATCAATCAGATGAAAAAGCTCCCTGAGCGTTCAGTGAGCGGTTGCACATCTGGTGAATGCACCTAATGGATCATTACATTCTTGCTGTATTTTTTCCCGGGAATACATCTTTGACACACTTGAAAATAAAAATAAAAAAAGAATATTTGTTTTTTTAAATATATGAAATATATAAAATTAAAAAATATAAAGTTATTTCAGAGGTTACTCCAGATATATCACAATAAATGTTTAAGCCTTAAGCTATAAGGAATAAACGAATCACGATCAATTATTCTCCTTGCACTTGTAGTTGATCACTTTCTTACGGCTTGTCTTAGCATCGAGATATGACCGTATCTTCAGATTTTGAAATTTTCCTACTAATTTTAATTAAAGTAAAAGAAATTTAATAATTAATCAATAATAAAAGTGATTATTTTTTCTTAAAAAAAAAAAAACTTGATTTTTTTTACTTATAAATATCTTCATCTTAAGATGTTCAAAATTTTCTGAAAGTCACTCAGGAGAGTATTCTTGACAAAGTCAAAGTTATAGGAGGATGGAGGTCCCTAAAATCCCCTAAAATGAATAATTATCAAGTTTGAATAATTCAACTTTTTTGGTTTCAGCTGATGCTTGTTATTCAATAAAAAAATTATTAACAAATATTTATTACTCTTATATAAAACAATAATACAACATATAGTTTCGCGTAGACAATTATAAACCTATATAAAGTCTCGTTTTATGTTAAATTATAAAATGTATGCGTAGATGTAGTCTCTCTAAGAATATCAAAAAACTAGATACACAGATTTGAGTTAAGTAGGAATTGTTTGACTATGTGACATTTTTAACATTGCGATTGATAAACCACTCATAGCTTATCACAGTGAAAAAGGCACTGATCGCCGTGCGTAGCTGTGTTCAATTGCAATATTGTCAAATATATTGAACTTGACGCTCTCATACAACATATTCGTTAGCGCATTTCTTTTTTCAATGCCTTCTTCTTTACCTAGAGTATTAGTTTCAATGTAATCTTTCGCCATAGGATTATTGTCTTGTTCAGTAATTACAATGTCATCTAAAAAATCTCCATGTAAAATGCAAATATTGTGCAGCACACAACATGCAATAATATATTCGGGTATGAGATCCATCCGTTTCATATACAACTTATCTTCGAGACTACGAAAACGTCCTTTCAGATAACCGATGGCTTCTTTAATCATTACATGGGCCGAACATAAACGTTCATTAAAATTAATTTGTGCTTCTGACAAATCATTGTCATTGTTATCATAAGGTACCATTACATGCTTTTGCAGAGCATATCCAGCATCACCTATTAGATGACTATTATGTGGAAAAAATTTTTCTGTGTACATGGATGGGATGTCACTTAGCCAGAATACGCACATATCATGCATGGATCCCGGTTGTTCTGCATAGCAGTGGATGAATTTTAAGGTGGAATCACATACAGCCTACAACAAATATAAAAATATTTAAACATTCATCAATCTCATAAAACCATAATTATTCCTTATGTTACTCATTACATTAAACGTATATGACTTACTTGCAAATGTATTGAATAATGACCATTTCGATTTATGTAATTTTCTGCATGTTCCTTTGGTTTCTGTATACGTATGTGTGTATCATCTATGGCACCAAGTACTTTTGGAAACTTATGTTTGTATTGAACATCCGTCCATGTTTGTTGTGCTTCTTCTATATTAGGCCATTTAATAAATTTATCTGCTAAAGAATATATCGCTGCACAGACTTTTCTATGAGCACGCCAAGCAGTTGCTCGTCCAATATTAAATCGATGACAAACAGATCTATTAATAAAAAAAAATGTGTGTGTGTGTATATATATATATATATAATGTGAATTAGTATTAATACTTATTTACTCAATATAATTATTTTTTATATTTATCTATAATTACCTATATGAATCAGGTGTTGCCATAGTCCATAATGTCACTAATAATTGTAAGTATGGATAAATTGGACATCGTCCAGATCCGGTTGGCTTTTCTAAGTTGGGTTGTATTAAATTTAATAAGTATGTAAACACTACACGCGATATCCTGTAAATAAAAGTTAATTAATTTTAAATAAAAAACTTTTTTATATTCAAGTAAGATTGCCATTGTGTATAATAAAAACAATCAGACTAATAAATGTTTACTTTTGAAGTATTGTACACAAAGCTGCACAATATATTATTTATATTCACTTTACCGAAATTCTCTTTTAAACTCGACATCTGAAAATTCTTTCACCATGTCCACATAATTTTTAACACGAAGTTGAACTGCTTGAACTGGTGATAATTCCATTCGTTCATCTTCTTCAGAAACATTATCGATACTGTTTTCGTCCAAATTTTCCAATGCTATTAAAGATATTGACAGCTTAGGCTATATTCCAAAACATCTTCTTTAAAGAAAATTTTTCTCAAAATATAGTATACATAACATACTCTCTGCTCAAAAAGTACCCGAAATTTTTACATAAAACGCAAAATTTTCAGATAAATTTATTTTATCCTCTTCAAAATAATCATTATTTGAAGCTATACCTATTACATTGGGCCGTTCTGAAACTAAACTCGGGAGAAAATCATCATCCCTGAATGCATGTGAGTTATAAGGAAAAATGCCAGTATTTTTAAATGCATTAATGATACTATTTGGTGTCATAGCAGATGGCAGGGCTGTGCCGACAAATCCAGCTATTTCATAAATTGATATAGTTTTCCCTGGATGACTTATCATCCATGAATCGATAGCAGTATTGTAAAACTTTTGGAATGGATTGTATAGGCCAACATCAAGGGGCTGCATTCGATGTGTTGAATGCAGAGGTAGTGTCAAAATGTGAACACCATTTGCTTTTGCTAACTCGAAGACGTCTAAACTTATGTGACTCTCATGGTTATCATAAATCAAAAGTGATGGGTTATCCTTTGTACTATATGAAAATTTTATAAAATGTTGCATTGTTTGAACAAAAAGTTGAGTATTCATCCAGCCTGATGGAGTTGCCAAACCCAAAGAGTTATACGGAGCACCAATCATCATGTGATCGCGGAAATTGACCCGAGGAAATATCAGAATAGGTGGTAAATAATTTCCATCAGCACGGATAATACAACATATTGTAACGAGAACTCCTTTTGCCGTACTTGTTACTTTACATACAGCTTTGGAATCTTTCTCAGCTATTATTTCTCCACTATTTTGAACTGTTGTAGTTTTAGTTTCATCTAAATTATAAATTCTTGACGGATCTCCAAGTCGCGGCTCTTTTTTTAATAATGTTTGATAGTTATCGAAAAAGGCCTCTACATTATGACGATTAAATGCCGTAGCTCGAGCCAAACTACATCCTTCTGGAGATCGAAGTGATAAATTTGGGTGTCTTTTAAAAAATCCTAACAACCAGTCTTCACCTGCTATTTTTTTCTCAACCCACGACGCAGGACACTTAATTTCATTAGCAACAGCAGTTTCGTATGCTAGTTTACGACAGTCTTTTGTTGTCAATCCATAGAACATTTTGCAGTACATTTTTAAATAATCAGCAATTGAATTTTCTTGAACATCAGTAAAAACTTTTTGATGGCTGTAGTTTGATGTAAGTTCGAATTCCATACCAGACTTTATAATTTTAATCTTGCGTCTCAGAGTTTCTCTTTTAACACCACATCGATCAGCTACTTTTCTAATGCTACCTCCTTTAGCAACCAACTCAATTGCTTTTTTCATATCAGTTTCCTTATATGTACCCTTAGACGACTTTCTTTTATATTTCCTAACCATTTTTATCGTTTTCTGAAAGAATATAAAAAAATTTGCATTGCCTAATTTCATCACGAAAACTTAACCTGATCTAACCTATCTAGATAAATTTGAATAGTCTATACATAACCATATGTATAAAGAGATTTATCTAATTATATTTTTATCATAAAGACACGCATAAAATACGATTACATAATTTTTTATGCATATATGCATATGTTCTGCAGTTACGCAAATTGTTCTAAACTCCTGTTAGTATATGACCCATGGTGCCCCAGCAAGAGATGATCCATGGTGCCCCGATATGTCTAATATAAAAGATGGTGAAATATAACATCGAAGTAAACAATAAATGATTACTTGCACTGGAGAAAAAATGCAGAAAAATGTATAGAATCACGTATGTAACTCGTAATAACTATATTATATTTTATAAAAACGACATATAAGAAATTGTGAGAGGTATTATAAAATAATCACTTTCGCACTTTTCCATGAGATTCTTTAATGCAAGACATGTGTACGGAAAGATAACGGAAGTGGATCACTGCCATCTAGATACATAGTATGAGTAACTAAATAACAATCATATGATACCAATTGCACCAACCTAAACATTCTAGATTTCTCTAAACAGTTAATGACCCATGGAGCCCCGGTCTCCCCTACAGCGTTTGTATTTTTCTACCCGAGTATTTGTCATGATTTGTGAAATTTCAAAATTATTTACCTGAAAGAATTTAGTTATATTCATGCAATTATATCTCTGATTAAATAACGAGATTTTTGCCTCAAATATTTGTTTGAATTAGACTAGGACTATAGCTGCAAATGAGAATTCTTTAGATTCGCAAGGGAAAATCACATTCAAAGCAAGCTGTACTTAATTACACAATCTTATTTTAGCGGTTTAGTCGGGATTCTTAGTATCACCATTAAAGAATTTCCTTCATAGTGAATGAACCAACTGTTGAAAGTTAATCTATTCTTGGGATCCTAGCTGAACTCTGTGATACCATTTACGAATGATGGAACTTTTATTTCTATGTCAGAATCAAAGCAATTAAAAGCTTTTTAAATGTTTGTTATTACTGAAGGAATAATTCTTGTTGAGATTTTGCTCGAGCTGTTGTTGCCAGAAAGTAAGAAGGACTGTAATATCTGCCACATTACTGAAGGAACAGAATGTATATAGCACATAAAAAAATATCATAGATGCAAATGTTTGCTCCGTTTAAGCTAAAATCATTTAAATTGAATATAATTGATCTCGAGAAATAAATTTTCAACAGCATTTTGACAAAATTTAGATATGGCTAAAATCGGCCCTTCCTTTCTCCTTTCATATATGCAAATATGCTTTTCAGTTATAAATACATTAAATTTAATGTAATGTCATGAAAATTAAATCCAAATTATGTAACTTAAAAGTACATTAAATTTCATGAAATTTCATGAAATTTTTAAGTATATGGCTTTTAGCTCCATCATTAAATTTTCTTTTACGGAATCAATCAAATCAAAACATTTTCTCTGTAATGGCAATTTGAGTCTTGGAAACAAAAAAAAAGGTTTACATAGTGCCATATCTGATGAATACGGTGCATGGGCGATGGTATTTGTTGCATGTTTGGTCAAAAAGTCACGTACACGATACAAGAGACCAATGCTTTGGAACCAATCGCGCTTGAACACGTTTGAGATCCAAAACTTTGGTTAAAATGTGATGAACCGAACCATTAGAGATGCTAAGGGTTGAAGCAATCTCTCTTTCACTCACATGACGATTTGCAAGCACAATTTTCTTCACTTTATCGACGTCCGTATTTGATGTCAATGGACACCCAGCACGCGGCAAGTCTTCTACGATTTCACGACCATCTTTAAACAATTTATACCACTCATACACTTGTGATTTCGAAAGAGAAGAGTCCCCGTAGGCTTTTTGTAACATTTTTAATGCGTCGGCACAAGAAATTTCATTAGCAACACAAAATTTCAAACACACTCTTTGCTCAATTCTTTTTTTCATTATAAAATCCGACGAACGCATCTATGATAGACTAATATAAACAGCTGCTGTAAATTGCCGTAAATAAACTAAGGAGTAAAAGTGCAATCATATGGAGTGAGAAATAACGGAATGTAAAGAGAATGGAAAAGACAAATGGTGGGGGTTAAACAATCAGAACAACCTTTAAGGTTCTTTTACATGGCAGCGTCAAGCGTCAGATCTATGAGCAATTTTACTAAAATTAAATTTAATATACAAAGTACACTAATAGTAGAATCTTGTAATTTGCACTATATAATGTAAATAAATATAAATTTTCAGCATTATATGTTAAAATAATAGTGTATATCAGAACATAACCTCTCATAATTTACTATTTTGCATCAAGAAGCTGTGCAGATTATTGCGCAGGAGTGGAAATTTAAACTTCTGCACAATAATCTTCTACGCAGATGCTCGATGCTTGCATGAAATGACACCTTTACGTTTGTTTCGTAGCTGGGTTTCCCGTTCCGTTTCCGTAAATATATTTCTCATCGTGTGAAATCCAGCTACGAAACAATGAAATTGTTCTCTGATTAAGTGGTCCCACTATTTGTCTTTTTCATTCTTTTTCCGCTATTTTTCACTCCATATGGCCGCACCCTAATGTCTATTTTCTATTCCTACACTAAAATTCTCTTTCTTGTTTTAAAATATCAGATATATATTTTGCTTTAAGTTTCAAAAGTGTATACTAATTCAATTACAAAAAATAGACCTTAAAGCATATCCACACAAACTTGGTATAGCCGCATAAACGTATGCATAAAGAAAATTATCCAATCACATTTCCCCTATAAATACGCATAAACGTATACATAAAGAAAATTATCCAATCACATTTTATAGGAGAAATGTGATTGGATAATTTTCTTTATGCATACGTTTATACGGCTATGCAAGTTGTGTGGATATATCCTAACTTCGTCACTCTCTGAATGTCAACAAGGATAGAATGATGCTTGTGTAGACTTGTGTCATCACATGGAAAGCACTCAATGGGACAGTTATGCCAACTTAACGAAAAAAAAAAAATGACACCATTAACGCGCATTTTTCAAATGAGAAATTCCGGGTACTTTTTGAGCAGAAGATATTGTATATCAAATAAAACTTTCCTCGGAGACGTTTTGAAATATAGCCTTAGGTCGGTTATTCATAGTCAATTTTTATATTAAAGACCGTCTTAAGTTCTGTCTTGAAGTATCACAAACTAATCAGAGGCAGATATTCATAATCGGATCTTATATTTAAAACCGTTTTAAGTACAGTCTCATTTTGCTGCGCGGCAAGCGTTTCCGCGTCCAGTATGCAGGAATCATTAAGATGTTATGAACCAATCAGAAGGCCGCTTTAGCGACTTAAGACATTACTTGAGACGGTCTTAAAATAAGAACCGACTATGAATACCGGTCTCTAATTGGTTCGTGACATCTTAAGATTGTACTTAAGATGGTCTTGAATATAAGAATAGACTATGAATGCCCTTAGTGTATTTGATTATATTGAAGATATCATATATTGAGGACCATCTACAATGGGAACACGATATTATGTAATAATAATCCTTAAGCTGTAAGAAATTGATAAATTATAGTTGATTATTCTCTTCACATTTGATTATAATTGTTCGATTTCTTACGATTTACAACTTACTGCATTATATGACTCCAATTGTAGATGGCCAGCTAATTAAGGGTGCTATTTCATTTGTGCATTTTTGTCGTACGACAAATTTTTCAAGCCTGTTGATTGGCAATGGGATAGAGTGATCCGAGAACCTCTCTGTTCTATACACATTTGTCGTACAATAAAAACGCACAAATGAAATAGCACTCTTATAATAAATTCGATCACTCGCACTGGATCAGTGCATATTAAAAGCTGCTTTATATAAAATATCTCAATGATACTCAATGATCTCAGTGATACAATATAATCAACTTTGACAATAAAATAATACATATATTTTGTTAAATAACGTGACAGTATCATTAGACAGTTACTATTTAAAATATTTATATACTTTTACAATTAACTTTATTAATTTTATACAAAGCAGCTTTTAATATACACTGATCTAGTGGAATGTAGTGACTAAATTCACTATTAATACTGCTGCTAACAGTATTAAAGTAATTTCGAAATGGCTATAGTAGTAGACTATTACAGGTCTGATCAAGTTGCTTGAAATCCTTAAGTTTTTGCATTTAAAAAAAGATAAATATATATTCGGCTGTTGAAAAGAAAGAAAACAAATATGCTGTACAAAAAGTACAAGTATCTCAAACAGAATATGATATGATAATTGCATTGTCAATAAAAAGAAAATATACTCAGGAAAATATTTTAATTTTATTAAAAAGCTATCATTGAAACAATACTGTTAGAATCAAATAGTTTTTCAATAGTATTTTTCTATATCAAAAAACATACGTCCTGTACAATATAAACTAATAATAATATTACACAATTATAATTTCCTACTCAACAATATGATTGTTGTATATATTATATTACATTTGTTGAATTAGAAATTATAATATTAATGTAATGTTACTGTTAGTTTGTATTTCGTGGGATAGATTTATAATATACTACTATATTTATAATGTACTACACTATACCTGTCAGTAAATCCTGCTGCAGCTGTACTGTTTTTTTATTCTTTATCAAATCTTGCTTCAATGTAGTAATAAATGTTTGCATTTGCTTCTTTTTTAAATTCATTTTCTGATTTTTGAAATAGTACTTGAATTTATTCATTTTCTGTTTGTTTATTAATGTTATTTTAATTGTATTGTCAACAGTACTTGTATTGGCTATTTTTTCTAAAAGTTGAAAACAATATGTTTCAGCTTCTTCTGAATTCTCGGATTTTTTAGTTTGAGAATGTATGACCAATGTAGGCAAACTCATAATCATTTCAGAAGCTATATTGAATACAGAAATTAGATTAAAAATTATTGAATAGCCTTCTTTTGATTTCAGAATACTTTTGTATATAAATGGATACAAACCAGATGCATTTGAATTAATTATATTTGCAATCATAGGAGTAGTTTCTAGAGAATCTTGAAATACAGAAGGTACAGCAAGACGTTTCAAACGAACATCATGTGCAAACGGCCTGATCATATAATCATTAGTTGTAAAATGTGCGCTACAAATCACATCAGATTTAGTGGGTTGAAAATTTACTTCCCCAATAGCTTCGAGCCATCTTTTTAAGTGATCTTTTCGACGAAGAGGAAATCTGAAACATTTATAATTTACAATTTAAATATAACCTTCAAATAATGAGAAACTATCATGTATAATAATCATTCGACTTACCTAAACAAGTGAAATCCTTTTGAACGATCATTGTTACAGTTTTTTATTCTACACTGGTTCCGCATTATTTTTTTCAGACGTTTATTTCTTTTTCTCTACTAAACTGCAACTTTCCTCCTTGCTTTGGCGAGGATACTAGTTTCGATTTTTATGAAATTGATAAAAAGCGTCGCTATGTCTCATAAATAAAACGAGATATTAAACTAATTAATCGTTAAACAATTTTCGTTTTGACAATTATTCAGATTTAAGAAATTTGTCATAACCACGAAAAACTAAACACGGGAAACGTTCCTTTTTATTTGAATGCGTTCCAAAAATCGACTCTGACTATGTTCCATAATTCAAGTTGGCAGTATATGATGGCTGGCGTTCAGCACAGACTGTGTTCCAAAATTCACTGCCAGTGCAGAAAATCTATAGTTTATGTTATGTGTACTATACATTTTCATCACTGACAGTGAATTTTGGAACACAGCCCGTGAAAGCAGCTTTGCAACTGTGTAAAACTTTTTAATATGATTGGTTGTTGCTTTTGGTTTCTTACAAATTTGAACATATAAACCAACCATCTTTTTGCATAGGTAATTGTAGAGATTTTGTATAACTTTGATAGGAATAAGTGGTAATAGGTCTGTTCGTGTTGCTTGCACTTTTGGCACTCGATATCTTCGCTTTCTCTTTTTTTAAGGCAAAATATGTATCTATTTCATTTTAAATGCAAAAATATTTGGGAATTTCATGTAACGCGAACAGACCTATTAATGAGCGAGTTCAAGACGGCGAAGCAGTTAGGCATCCTTGCGAATGAACATGATTGGTTCTTACTTGTGGATCCAACCAATCATGTTTAATTGCTCGACAGACCTAGCTGCTTTGTCAAATGCGCTTATTTTAACGCATCGTGTAATGTGTATTGCTAACTTAAGAATGTAACCTAACCTATATTTTGCGTAAAAATGTTATTTAGAAATTAATACGAGAAAAAGAATTTTTATTTTATTTTCTTAAATTAAGCGGAAATAAAAATCACCGTAAGTATCAACCCTTAAATAGAGTAATTTGTTTTCTTTTACTTAAAAATAATTTTTGTTATGTTTAAAAATTCTACAATGAAAAGTTTGTTGTACAATCGAAATTATTCTTTCAATTAAACTCAAAGTCTTATAGTCTCGCTTATTCTTCAACTTATTCAAAATATTATTATGCAATTGCCTTAATCCTTATCTTCCTAAATTAATTTTAATAAAGCCTTAAAAAAATATGTGAACTTTATATGTTTACAGAATGGGACGAAGTCGCACTCCATCGCCAGGAAGACGGAGGGATCGATCTCGAGAACGAGATCGCGACAGAGACCGGCGGAGAAGACGATCGCGAGAAAGAAGACGAAGGTATATTTGAAAGATTTTTTTTTATTAATTTATTACATTCCTTTGACTGTTATAAACATGGAACCTTTTTTTTATAGATCTGTAGAACGGGATAGAGTAAAGTCGAGAGATAGAGACAGGGATCGAGAACGTGAACGAGACAGGCATAGAAGATCATACAGCAGATCCAGATCACGAGAAAGATCCCGTGACAGATCCAAACATAGAGCAAAGCCGAAGCCTTCAACAAATGAACGACCCATTATTACAGGTATCCACATGCTAGTATGTTTATAAAAATAAAGATTTTTTGCATTATAAATTTAAAAAATTGATTTATTAGCTAATAATATCTGGCTTGGCTCAAATAGCTCATTCATTGACTTTAGAAATCTCCAAATATTTTTCGAAGATCAGTTTTGACATGTCGCAAAGTTGTAATAAAAGTTGCAAAATTAAAATTAGAAAGAGAAACGATTAACTGTGCTTTTGTATTACAGAAGCAGATCTTCAAGGCAAAACACCTGAGGAACAAGAGATGATGAGAATAATGGGATTCTGTGATTTCGATACCACTAAAGGCAAAAAAGTAGATGGGAACGACGTGGGTGCGGTTCATGTTATTTTGAAAAGGAAATACAGACAGTACATGAATAGAAAGGGTGGTTTTAACAGGCCTCTGGACTTTGTTGCGTAATTTATCTCTAGTACAATTTTAAGTGACGAGTATATCAAATGATATCATAGATATGACAAAAATATCCGAATGAACTATTACTTACAGAAATTATTACGTAGAATTACTAATTCTACGATTAATATGATAAATTAACGCAAGTTGTTATACTTTAATTTATTACACTTAATACAACATTATAATAGAATATTTGTATTTCATAAACATGTTCTTTGTATACAACTCGTGTTATACTATAATTAGTCTTGTATAAAAAAAACTTATACAGAAGAAGTGTAAAATTAAATTTACTTTATATCTAAATTGAAAGAAAAATATTATATTATTAATCTTAAGATAAGGCACTTATAGTTTTAAGATTCTGACGATCTTCTTGAGCGTTTTGAAGGTGGGAATTCCGATGATTTTGATGACGTGTCATTTTGTCTAGATCGTTTTGAAGATGATGTTTCAGTAAGTGATTCAATAGACACGTTATTTATATCTGCATTAGATGTGTCGTTATTGCGATGAGAATTCTGTGTATCCAGCTGATAAATACAATATGATATAAGTATAACAAAATTATAAAATGCCAAACTTTAAATAATACTTTTTCATATCTCTTTCTTACCATACTTATATTTAGCTTGTCCAGTGCTTCTGCTAACTGCGTGCTTTTTATACGGAAATCGCGTGTTATGCTGTGCTTTATATAAATCTCAAGTGGAACCTAAATAAATATACATATCGCAATTGCCTCTATTCATATAGTATAAATTTATCTCCTTTAAATATATCATTTCCGGATACATTTACTGTAGGGTACTGAAATCTCTTGTAAAAAAATTCCCTGAGAATTTCCAGATTTTCCAAACATTTTCATTCAAAATTTCAGGTAAGATTAGACAATTTTTTAAAATGCAATTTTCAAATAAATTACAGTGCAAACAAATTATCGTAAATTAGTAGAAGATAGGAATTCTCTAAGATTATATCTATCATTTTCTACAATTGGAACTGCGAAACTTATAGGATAAATAAAGATTAACTACAATATAATATCAGTGAGATACTCTATTTTACTAACAATAAGTATTAAGTATTGTATCTTACTGTTACCCTGTTTTTTTTTTAAATACACGAGAAGGTATGTGAATATACGCGAATGTGTACGCCATACTTATTAATCAACATTTTGCACTATCAAGAAAAAAATGAATAGAGAAAAGCCATTTTCAGAAAGAGACAGAATAAATAAAATTCCAAGTTTCCCTGAGTACCAATAAAATTCTATGAAATCTCTGATTTTTAAAAGTAAAAAAGAAATCCCTTGAAAATTCCAGGTTTTCCTGATTTTTCCAAGTAGTAAACATATTTCTGTACATATATCAATTTCTTTTCTTTAAATATATAGTGAATACTTACACCAGTCTTCTTATCAAGCGATAAAATCTCCTTATGAAATTGTTCTATTTCACATATCACACGGGGTATAATTCGAGTCTCTTTCAAAATCTTGTTTCTTTGCAAATGTGAATCAGCTTTCGATGTTTTTGCATTTTGATTTCCCTATATAATAAAAACACGTATTACTATTTCTACATGATGTAAGATAAAATCATAGTTTAGATGAATACCTCAATATAAGTTATTAAATTATAAAATACAGATTTTAATGGTTTTCCAGCTGATTGAATCACTTGAATAAATCTGAAATTATATAAAAAATTTATATTTTGTAAATAAAATATATATAAAATTAATTAAACAGTAATTAAAAATTAATCTATTAACATTTATAAAGTATAGAGACAAACTCTTACTTCACTGACTGAAATGCTGCATTTTGTTTACTGGATTTTCCATAAAAATATTTTGTAAGATTACTAAGTAGGTTGTACACGATTTGTAAATTTTTGAACATAATATCCGTAGATAATCCTGGTTTAACAGCAACATTAGCTATTGTATAAAGTATTTGTATAATGTGCGACAGCTGTCTGCACAAACTGCGTTCTTGTGTTCGTACTTTTTCCTGATCTGTGTTTAGAGATTTTAATATTACAAGAAAATAAGTGCAAATGTTGGTAAATAATATAGATGAAATTATACATACATTCTTCGAGATCTGTGCCAGGCGGACAAACAATATTTTGCTCGGCTTTAAGGCGCACTAACAACCAAGATATATTGTCCAATTTCTCTTTTATTGAGTTATTTATTAAATTATAAAGTTTGTCCGCCGTCTCTTCGTGGATAATTTTGAATTTGTTATTTTCCGGTACTTCAGTCTAAAAATAAATAATAATGAATATATAAAGAGAAATTAATTTTTACATTTATTATGTAACAATAAGATAAATGTTACAATAGAATATATATACACTGCCGACTAAAAGTTTGAAATCACATATAAAATTTACTATATTCCAGTAAAACGCTATTTAAAAAAATACTATCAATTCGTTTTCAAAATACAATTTTTTTCAATTTGAAAGTAAATATGCGTTTTATTTAGTACGGTTGAAAATAGGAAAAAGAAATTTGTTCAATCGAGAAAATGGATTATGAAGTCTTTTTTCAAAAACTAATCTATGGACTATTTCAGAAAATGGATAAGAGACTCTTGTCAAAAAAATAAAAAACTGTAGCTAACTTACTTAAATTAGAAAAAAAAAGATTTAATGTAAGAAAGATTTCGACAAAGAAAGTATCTAATACTCTTTGACGTTTTTTTTATCTTGAAAAAATATTTTCTGTAAAACTTTGAAACATTTTATAATTTTTTATTTCATTATAAAACAATGTGTAAAATAATAAAAATTAAATTATAATAAATTTAGTTTTATTTCACATAATACATTTTTAATTAATAATCTCAAATTTTTGGTCAACAGTACATTACACATTGTATACTTATATCATTATATACCTTATCGACGGTACCTATTTTCTCGCACAATGCGAGAGAGATATCGATTAACAATTCCCCATATTCCTTATGACGTTCTTCTATCAATAACAGAATTTGAAAAATAGTTAAAGAAGCTTGAGGATTCATATCTTCCAATTGTGTGAATTTCATCATCGATTCGAATACCTTGTGTAACAGATTTTTTTAATAGTCTTATATCTTCTATTTTTATTCAATAAAAATAGTTACAAAAAGATACTAACTTCATTGCCATTTGTTTTACAAAAATTTATCTGTTGCGTCAGTTGGTATATAATATCCAATAATATGCCAAGTATCTGTTTAGAATTCTCCTCATGTTTCTCTTTCTCAGTAAAAAACGTCCTGAAACTCGTACGTACAGCAGCAATTATGTTCTCCAATTGTGAGTTAAGATTTTCTGCTTCAGTTGACTTAGCTGTAAGAAGAACTTTTATATTATAAAAGGAACACTACTTTATCCTAATATTTTAAACACTTACGAATAATAACATTAAGAAACTGCGACAATTCGGAAGAGAAGTAGGTGCAAATTAAACAACATAATTCTTTGAAACATTCTAATGCTAATATAGTCCCTTGTTCGTCTGCATCGAGAACATTGTTTAAATCCAGTATAACATGATTATATAATAATCTGCCAGAAAAAAATTTAGAGTCTACAGTAACGGATCATAAAAAATGCCTTAAAAAATGCACGGTGAAATGAGATCTCGCAACAGCGAGATGCTAGGTATCTACATAAAAGAGCACTTACTTTCCAATTTCAAAGTAAGCCTTCATATATTGTTCTTTATGCTTCCGCAAATTGTACTCCATTAATAGTTTAATATTTTGCAAAATTTGCAACAATGTTCGCAGGATGTAATGATAAAAATCATGGTTATCTATTAATATGGTAACTTGGTCCTCAGATGCCCAGGGAACAGATTTCAAATAGAAGAGCGACAGGCTTTTGTGCACAATAAACAAATCTATGATACTGGGTGGTAATTTTATGCTACTTGATCGGCCAGCTTTCTTTATACTTGTATTATTCAGGTCATTTTGTGTCTTTTTATTTTTTCCTTCTCCCTTTTTAACCTTTGGTATGTGCTAGAGAATTGAAAATAATAAAATCATACAATTATAAATAAATTTATATTATTTATAAATATACGCAACATATATTTTCATTACCTTAGTAAATTCAACTAATCTCATATATCCTTTGAACAGATTTTTAATATTTTGCGCGGTATCTGTACAATTTATAGACCAGGCGCCAATTCTAAAGGATATAAGAGCCTCGTAAATTTTAATTGTTAACAGAACTATCTGCAGTTTTTCTTGAGCTTTGATGCTAGTGTTGCTTAAATCAAGCTTGTCATCCTATTAAGATTTTAAAAAATCCAAGATATTATATAATTACAAATAATCTTGAATTTTATTAAGTCTAATTTTCTAAACTCACAAGACTTAGATGTTCTGTATCGAGCCGTGGCATCCGCCTGCATAGAGATTCCAAGATAATAGCCAATTCATCAATAAAAGGTGATTTTATTAGAGCCGATTTGATGTAAATCTTTTGCAGTACAAGTATCAATTCTGCCAGAGGTTCCTGCAGTATAACTTGGTCCCCTTGTTCCGCTGTACATAATTCCAGTTTAACTGGTACCACGACGTTCTCATCCGTCTCAAAAAAAGTTTTGAAGTGTGGTAATAACATTTCTAGTACGTATTCTGCGATCTCGATATTTTTCAATACGGCTTCATATAAACCTAAAAGATAAATTAAATTCAAAATTAGTTACTTTAATCTTTTAGCAATACAAGTAGCATAATTTTTTTTTCTAATCTCGTACCATTATATAAGTGTAATCGAACTTCGCACTCGTGAGTAAAACACCTTTTTAAAATACCCAAAATATCGTAACATAAAGTTCTATTATATCTTGAGGTAAGTCCTCTTACTTGAGTACCTCTCTCTAACGTCACCTACGAAACAATATCATATTGAATGATTAATCATTTTACAGTTACAAAAGTTTAACCGACTGTCTGATGATGTGATTAATAAAACCTGAGTCAAAATGGATGTGGAACTTGTGCCAGTTGACGACGAATTGGCGTACTGACTCGAACTCATCGCGAGGCCACTCATAGAGTGTATTTTCAGATTCCTTAACATTTCCAAAATCCCACTGACCGCCATTTGTCGATTAAAAATACCCTTTCTGTAAAGAGCCTGTCTCAATGTCAAGACCAAATGCTCTCTTATACTGACTGAAACTTGTACCAATGGAAATATCGCGGAAACAATAAAAATGGCAATTTCTCCGGGTATGGATGAGATCTGATCAAAAAGCATTATTATAGATTCTTGATGGTCCAACACTAGAACCGTTAACTTATGGCACATATATGCTAAACAATCTGCAAACAAGCAATAATATTAGTTATCAATAATAATTAAATGAGGAATAATAAGATTTACGATAATTACCTAACTAATAAATACAATAATTAATTGAGAGTATTTTTACAAAAATCCTACCGGTATATTGAGAAATAGATGATCTACTCGCGACTATCTTATCAATCAACATTTGAAATATAGTTGCAACTGTTTCGTGATGCTTTCTCATGATCTTTTGAAGTATCTTTGTACCAATTTGCCATAAAGGATGCACATTCGTTTTTGTTTTATTCTCTACAGCCATAAGAACAAATGCGAGATCTACGAGTCCTTTCAATACTAAGTGACGATCCCTGTTACTGTATAATTAAAGCATTGTATATATTAAAAGATTTGATATTAAAGCATTTATAATACGGGCAATCTATTGCATATTTACCTCGCCTCGATGACATTTACCATCACATTCATTATGCTGCAAGAATCGGGAATTAATTTTCTCAACCATGCACTATGTTTCTGTTTAATGTCATTTTCGTTTCGTTTATTAATAATCGCTCGCAGCATTTCGAAAATCTACGATATTATAGTTAAGTAATATTACAGAATTATATATTGTTATAATATGATACAACTATATTACATTATATAAATATAAAAATATATCATTAATATATATTTTTTTAAATTACAGAATAACTTTAAAAGCATAAAAAAAGTTTAAAGGGTTTAAAATTCGAATTCCATAATTCTTCATAAATGTCTTTAAATTATACATAAAACATTTTTTCAAATAACATTTTTTCTTTTTGAAAACTCTTTAATTTTTAATTACTAAATTACAGATGTAGTAAATCCCAAGAAAGTTCGAAACGTTGAAAATACAGTATTATACCATACGTATGTCTCTTAATGTAAAATTTTATGTATTGATTCAATTCGGCTGATTGAGATATATAGTACTATATTTTTAATGTCTTAAACTTTCTCTTTCTTGAGATTTGCCACATCTGTAATCCAGTAATTAAAAGTTAAAATTTTCAAAAGGAAAAGTAGGTATTAAAATATGCAAAAATTAATAAATTAATATATCATTACCTGATTTTCATCAATAGAAGCAACTGTGAGCAGTACAGAAAGCATAAAAGGTTCTAATACAGTTTCAGGAATGTGTGATATACTTTTAAAATACTTAATGTAGTCTCTTATATGTTGATGATTCAATTCAGCTGATTGAGATATATGATACAATACTGTACTTTCAACGTCTCGAACTTCCTTGGGATTTACTACATCTGTAATTCAGTAATTAAAGATTAAGAGACTCTCTCTCTCTCTCAAAAAAATGTGTCATATTTTTATGAATAATTTAGAAACATCATTCATAAAAAATTATGGGAATTGAACTTAAAATCCTTTAAACATTATGTTTTTAAAGTTACATTCTATAATAAAACTATACATTAATCATGTTTTTATGTTTATAATGTAATATAGTTATATCATTTAACAATATATAATTATATATTATTACTATTATATAAAATTATAATTATACTACATTACACAAATAAATTTAAGATTATATCTTTAGTTTTCTTACCTATAGATTCAAAAGTATCAGTACTTTCAGTTTGCGAAAAGCGTAGTGTGAAATACTTCCGTAAGGCTTCTAAAAGATATTTATTATCCTGATTAGTACATAATCTCAGCGATTGATGCACAAAAGGAGGTACTTCATCAAGAGGTATATCTTGCAGTTTTGTGCAGAATACTGTAATTACCATAGCATGATCCTCCTTTTCCAAAGATATATCTCTAAGTATAATAAAGCCATCAGTTCATTAATTCATATATCTTTTTTATTAGAAACTGCAAGAACGATTACCTGAACATTCTCGCCAACGATGGCATTATCTCCGTATCCCATTCACTGTTGCATAAATTATTAATGATGATAGACTTGTATTTGGAACCAGTAACTTCACCATTCATATAAGTAATATACTTTTCTTCCTCCAACACTTCCAGCAAAACAGGCAATAAGTCTTTCCAACTGAAACATACATGTGTATCTTTTGTTTCTATCATATTAAAGGCATAAGTAATCATATACCTCCTAAATTCGTCGTCATTGTTGCGAATACTAGCAAGACAGAAGTCAACCAATTTGATCAGATGTAGTTTTGGATATTTAGGAAAATCCAACACTATTCGATTTACAATCTCATTCGCATGATTAATTGTAACTTTTGCTTTGCCTAAAGCTTTCAGAGCAGACTCCACTAATTTGACTCTCTTGGCAAATAAATTCTCCGACTCAGAACACACCTGCAGGACCTCGTCCAGTATGTTAGAAATGTCTGCATTGCAAATTTTGTTCGATATTATCCTCGTAAGCTGAAATAAATCATCTTTCTAACACCGTTTCAAACTAATATTCTTAAGAAAAATCTTAACTTAATCTTATATAGAATTGGTATATAGAAAAAAAAATAAAACGTGTATTTTACATTCGTGAACTGCATTCCTTACCTCCTCAGTTGAGGTTTCTCGCACGAATTCTTGCAGCTGTGTTTGATCTTTTTGGGTGATCAAATTATTTAGTTTTTCACTCATCTTAACTTAACAAATTAACATAGCAATGTATAAATAACAGTAATATAAACGTACATTTCTTTTCCTTATATCTGTTTCTATCGATGTTAACTATCAATAAACTGTTATCAATAATTTTCCCGCTCTTACGAACAAGTCAGAACAAGTGTGGACGATGTTACATCCTTGTAACACCCTAGAAATCAGTTCGAGATTTCGGACAAAGAAAGAATTAACGAATCACATTTGAGCAATTTGATCACATGACCAATGCGATTGATCAATTCTTTCTTCATCTCGAACCGATTTCTAGTTAGAATTGTCTTTTTTTTTACTTCGTGGATCTAACAGAAAATGCCAATCAGATGAAAGAGCTCACTGAACGCTCATTGAATGATTACGCATCTGGATGCACCTGATGTCCGGTTATTATAATTTTGACGTAAATCGAACCATGTAAACGTAGTTAAAATTAGGCCTGTTCTTTTTAGTTGAACTTTTGCACCAGTTCATCTTTTTTCTCTTTAGTAGGAAAGAAGAGGAAGAAAAATGAACTGATGCAAAAGTTCAGCTAAAAAAAAACAGGCCTATTAAATAAAACCATTTCCAAATAATCTAAGTAATCGGATAACGTTCAGATCACGTTTAAAGTACCAGTTCTCGTCCGATCACTGAAGTCAAGAAACGTTGAGCACGGTTAGTACTTGGATGGGTGACCGCTTGGGAACACCGTGTGATGTTGTCCTTTACTTTTTATTTTTGCTCCAAATAAAAAGGAAATTCCCAAAAAAAAACCATATTGACAGATACTATATATTAAGGATTAATTAATATAATAATAGCTTTATTTCAAATCGACAATCAGCATATTTTTCTACGCGATTAATTTTTCATTTAATATCTGTATTATTTTATTAATAGATACAATTAATAGATGTATAGATTATGCTTATATATATCGATCAAAATATATGCACTTAACTTGCACTTATATCCTTTTTCATTTATTTGGAATTCTTTTACATACACTATACATTGTTATTTATTGATTGACCCGCATCATACATATATAAAATATTTGTGATCAAGGTTGCACACACACATACAAAAAATTAAAAATTCTATACAATAATTTTATTCATATTATAATAAAAAATAAATCTGTACATAATCCGATATATATGTAGGATTATGTACAAAATTATTTTTTATATATTTTTTATATTTTTAATATTATATATGCATAAAAGTATTAATTTTTTTTTACAATATAAATAATTATTTTTTTTTATTATATAATATAAATAAATTATTATTTTGACAGAGCCAAAGATTAAATTAGGGAGGACTGTGCTTAGAAATTTTGTTTTTAAATAATTCTGCCGTTCGAATTCCGATTAACTTAGAGTTTAATCGAAATTGCCCGATGTTTGGGATCGTCCACGGCATCCACGCGTGTCTGTTGACATACGACAGACAGCGGGAGCGGCGAAGTGCACGTTAACCAACGTTAACCTCGCACGGAAGATGGCGGACGACGATGTGAACGGAGATTCGGATGATGTGCAGCAGGAGAAGTCGCAGAAAAAGGCAGCCAAGTATGACAGCGGTGCAGCGGATCTGGAAAAAGTGACCGATTATGCCGAAGAGAAAGAGATCTCGTCGTCTGATGGATTTTCTTGCGTAAGTACTCTCTTGTTCCGGGTAACCTAGAATTCGGCCCATCCACGCGCGTTTACTCTCGTTGCTCGATTTCAAATGTTAAATTGAAAGTTAACTCGGTTTTCGCATTAAAAAGAATGTCTAACAGGCTCTCAGCATAATTGGTGACCGTCGCGACAAGGAGGCCGCGGAGAAAAAGGCGAAAGAGAAGGAGCTGCTCAAAGTGTCTATTAAGAAGGAGGATGTCGATTTGATCGTGAGTACTTTACCCACGTGTTCAGACCTTAGAAATTTGTATCGATCGAAAGACTTACGGTTGTCTTTCTTTCAGATGAAAGAGATGGAGATCAGTCGGATTTTGGCTGAACAGACTCTCAGGGAACATAGAGGCGATATTGTAGAAGCATTAATTACATTAACTAATTGAAATTGTACAAAAAAGAACTTGTTCCAGAGATCTGGTGTCATATCTCTGAATTTTACTGTAAAATATGCTAAATTACGAAAGTTCCGAGACTTTCGCTTATTTGCTAACACTTGTTATAAAATATCCAAGTAATACTTATATTTTCATTTTCTCATATTTGCCTACTTACTAAATGAATGTGCAGTTCTATAAGTAAATGATAATGGTAATGTATTGTAATAATTATATATGTATACATTATATATATAAATATATAAATATATTTATTTATATGTGTAGCGAGAGTAATTCATTAAAGATAAATATATCCATCTGACACTTTATTATCAAAATTTGAAATACAGAAAGTTATAGCTACTATCAATACAAAGAAATTTCTTCTTGTCTGATACCTGTTGATTACCAATGTTATCAGACATTCATATTGATAAGATTATTATGGATACAAATAACAGGTTTTATAAGGTATATAGGAGCTCAGAAGTACATTCGTGTGCATTGAATGTTGGTTTACCTTAATATGCTCATTATCACAAAACTATTTTCACGTAAATCATTATTGCATCTTTATACTAATATAAATAATATCAACTAAAGATGTGCAATTGATCTAATTATATATGTTAGTGAAAGTGAAATTTAGATAACATATGGTTATCTTATTTGTTTATAAATAGATGTGACATCATGAACTTATTCTTATTTGGATATTTATGCTTTTGTATTACAATAAGTTTGACTAAGAGCTCAGGTATGTGACATTATATTTGAATGTGTATTCATGTAATCAATACAGTTTTTAATTTTCTTATACTTAAATATTTTCATATTTTAATGCAAGTCGTATTAATAAGCGTAAAACACTATTGATTTTATTTACGGTATATACTTTTTATATTATAAAAGATCTATTTTAATAGATATGGATACACATTCCGATATTTCTGAAAGATATATATATAATATTAATAACTGTACACAATGTGATGACCAACAACACTCGTCATGCATCTGCTTTGAATATGTTGGTAAGTTAATATCAAAATTTTTCGCGTGCGATTGCAAGTTAGAATTTTTTAAATTATTTTGTGTGTGTGTGTGTGTGTGTGTGTGTGTGTGTGTGTGTGTGTGTACTTCATCATTAAACGCTAAAAATATATTTTCGTTTAATGGCGTGTAACATTTTATGTATGTATATGTATAAAATACAAATTTTAAGGTGTCATTCAAAATAAAATAAATAATTGTAATATGTATATACATATATTACATATGCATATATATTATGGTTTCTGCACATTGATTTCAACAAATTTTTAGCAAAATTTTCGAAATAATTTCAGTTTAAATTCAGTGATTTTTCACCATTTTTGTTGAAAAATTCACTTTCAGCGAAATTTTTACAAATTTTTTAAAATTTCGCTGAAATATTTTTACTAAATTTTCTGCTAAATTTGTTTATTAGGGTATCTTTCTTTATTACAAATAATTATGCACAAGTAAATTTATTTTGAAACATGTTTATATATATAAACGAATTATTTATATTTCTATCTATTCATAAATTATACTTTTTATTTTATTTTTATTATTTTCTGTTTTATACTGTTAAGAAATATAAAATAGAAGAATTTATTTAACCATGATATTAATATCTCAAATATCTTATTCAAGTAAACGTTAGTGTAAATAATAAATATTATTTGCTTTTTTTTTATTTTATTACGCAAAATAATATTTTTACATTAAATAATATTATTTAATAATATTAATGTTACATTAAATAATATTTTTATAGTCGCAACCTTTAAAAAATGTTTCTATTTTTCTTTCTTTAAAATTTATAGACAATTGTGTAATTTGCTGTTCCAATGTTCCATGCTGTGTCTGCGCAAATTGCGCTACGTGTTGGTACGAAAGAATTAGTTGCTTGCCTAAATTATTTCAATATATTTATTTTTCTCAATAGATTAAGATCTAATTAACAATCAATATTTATTTCAGGCAACAACAATTAACAATAATGACACAGATTGGAATTGCAATGCTGTTTGGATTAGGCATCTTTGGCTTGATCGCATTTTACTGTAAAATGTGCTACAAGTATGAAGATATTCAATACATTTATTTTTCAAATTTTCTCTATTATTCGCTATTGGTGCTCCAAACAAATACGAATATACCAAATTTAATAACATTTCATGACAAATACGTCACTTCCAAATCTTGTTTTTTTTCTCAGAGTCTTATTTCTATAATTTTTAATAATTGAACGATTGTTATTACAATTTTTTCTTTTCTATAAATAATATTATTCGTTAACAAAATGGTAATAAAATTGTAAACTCAACATTAACTGTTGCTAAATGTAGAACTATTTTATTATCACTATTTGTTTCTTACGGAATAAGAAAGATTCTTATTAACAATAATAATGTTATTAAGGATTACAAAATAAAACCTTTAAATTTTACAAAGAGAAATTAGAGAGAGTAATTGTATTTTTACGCGTTCTATTTTCCGACATTTACTCTATCAAAAATTAAAATTTTTTAATTAAATTGATTATAGATTTTTAAAGAGTTATTCTTTCAGTATATACACATTTCACTTATAAGTATTCCCAATTTTCATCGAGATAAAGTAGCAAAGAAGCAAATAATTCAAGACACTTTAAGGGATCTCAAAAATCTAATAAACAACGCTATTTTTTCGGGAATTTTTTAATATAGGCTACATATTTTCATAGGTTTTTGTAAGTTTATTGTACTTATATATTGAACTTCAGCTTCAAAGTTTCTCAAAAAGGTTTCCCAAAATTAGTTTGTTTATTAGACTTGTAATGATCTTTAAATTCATTTCTATTATTTATAGACCGATCCAAACGTCAACGCGAATGCGTAGAAGACATGTCGTGCGCGAGGAAGGTGATTTGACATATTGCAGCACCATCGAAGGTCAGGAGAGACCACCTTCATATAATGAAGCTGTTCATAATACTTCGTCTACCAACATGTATTCCGACAGTGCTCCTCCTCTTTACGCGTCTCCCTATAACAGAGTATAAATTGATATTTTTAATCTACTGATTAGAATATGATAAGAATATGTGTATATTTGCCACAACTTACCACGATATATAGTCATAGATAAACGTTAAAATAATTTTCGAGTGATAAAATTTTTCTGTTTCCAGATGTTCATGTCGGAAGCTCCACCGTCGTATCCAGGAACGCCGAAATTGCAAGAAAAGATTCTCCATCAAAATTCCAACGAGCCTCCTTCCTCGTCCTCCGTTGTTCAGCACATGTAACGATATTCTCACAGACACAAATAATTCATTCACTGCGTGTACATTTGTATGCTATCTGAATAAAACGTAATCTATAGATTTATTAAAAAAAAAAAATAGCTGTCATCATCACTTCAATTTGATAGCAAGATCGTACTAACTATAGATGTTCCAAAATATTTTCTAGATTTTTTTTCTGAATTGTCTAGCCGTATAATATCGCAAACTCGATAATCTTGTAATCTTCGAGAGATCCGAGAGTAATAACGTGGCGAGGTAATGAAAAATTATACTCCATTGTTATATAATGAAAATGTCATTTATTTGATGTGGTGCAATGACTTAAAGTAAAATGGAAAATGAATGTCTGCGTGTATGAGCTGGGTTCAATGAGCGGCGCGCGTAACATTTCTCGCGGATCAACCACTACCGCAACCATTAATTTTTTTTTCACACAAGAACTTCGAATTTTTAAATGCAATGTACAACGGGGGGGAGTGTGTGTGTGTGTGTGTGTGTGTGTGTGTGTGTGTGTGTGTGTGTGTGTGTATATCAGAGAGCGGACGTGCGGTAGTAGCTAGTGGCGGTGGTGATCTCGATCACCGACACGCGCCAGCTTTCATCATGATGAGGTAACACTTGTCTTACTTGTACTTAATAGTTTATCAAATTATATCCAGTCATACGCTCGTATTATTCCTGCTGCGGATTTTCGTACGGAATTGCGCCTACATCTGTATGTGTTTGTGTGTTTCGTTTTTCTATATCTGTTATTTTACGAATTGTTGTTTCGGAATTAGCTTTATATGTCTTCGCATAATTTTTTCCGTTTTTTTTTTCGTCTTTTGTTTTCTCTAGGAAATGACATTCAACGTTATGTGTTTCACAAAAGAAAAATCGCCGCACAGTCCCAAAGATAGATATGAAATTGGAGAATGGTCGCAGATTTTTAAAATATGAATCAGCACGGCCAAAGTATGTTCCTTAAATTGCTACTATACCGCTTTTGTGTCTAATATATACTTTTGTTCCTTCTCTTATTTAAGTCCTATATTATTCTAAGACTCAAATAAAAAGATCGACGTAGAAAAACAGTGGAAAACTTCTTCTAACTATATTTCCATCGGTTCAATCTTTGATCTTTGACGCGATACACAATGTGTCATTCGACAGCACACTACGACGAACGAGCACCTTCTAATCTGCATCAATTTTTCGGCGTTATGTTACATTTAAAGTTAAAGCATAGTGTTTTTCAAGGAACATGAGTTTAGCGCAGTCTGTAAAATTGAAATAAATTATACATATTGATTATTGTACGGTTTTTGTAAAAGTATGGGATCCTCGTAACGTGAGTTTGTTCTGTTCTTATAAAATACACAGCAGATATGTACAGTGTAAAAATCTTAAAATCGATAGTGACGCTAGGTTTGGGACTGTCCGGATAACGACTGTCGCTTATCGTATGTATTTTATATAACAAGTAAATTCACTGGCTGCCAGGATCGTCAAAGGGGAAAGGTTTGGGGAGTCTGTCTCTAGAAAGGATCGATTATACAATTGCAGTAATTACAAGTGGTCTTATCACAGAACATGTATGGCATTAATTGTCATCATTAATGATGTGTGTAAATGGTAATAAGTATTCCACATATTTAAAACTCGGCTTTCGGTAAAGCTAAAAGATCGGAGGATCAGGAAGCCAGTACACGGTACTAAACGATTATTATTTTCGCCTTTGTGGTTGCCCATAATTCAGTTCATTGACTACACGCAATTTTGCAGACCAATCAAATTAACGACATAAAATAAGAAAAGAGCGATTAACACTCGCGCTATAATTGACTAACGTTTCTATTTTAC